GAATGAACTCACACCTATACACGGGAATAGAGTTAAGCCCGTTCAAGCCATAACGGTTGACAAAAAACGAATAATTCACTGGTTATTTACTGATTTTCACTTTCAAGGTTTCTAGGCAGGCACCCAAGCAAGAAAGGGTTCAAAGAATACTGCTGTCGGCAGTGCCAATAACACAAACAGTCAATATAATAATCAATATCCAACACTATCATACTCATTCTTGAATTCCATATTTATAGTTTTTGCAAATAAAGAAATATTATGAACCTAAAGAAGTTAAACCTCAAGCAACAGATATTGCTAGATTTCCAATACATTGCAAAAGAAGCTTCCAAATTACATAAAAAGCCTCAAACTACTCAATGACTACGATTTGAACAGTTACTCTAAACTGTACTTGCTACAGTACCATGCAATCATTGATTGCCATAATCTATTTTTCTTAGGCAAGATTAGGTCGCTCCTTTCTGTTCTGAATAGAAAGCATTTGTTGTACCTCCTCCTTTGTACACTTAAGTTGGTTAATCCTAAGATTGATCACCGACATGGTGGCTTCACGAGGTACAGTTCAGGGATTATAAGTCAGTTTTGATTTTGCAACTTGATTATAATATGGCTTGCTCAATATAATTGTATAGGAAATTTCAAAATTCAAATTGCTACAAATCAAAATGATGTTTCCATCTTGGGATATTAAATAACATATGACCATATCATGATTTTCTTGCAAATCCTCTATTTAGGATGCTCATGAGGAATCAAAGGCTGTGACTAAGGCTGCTGCTATGAAAGGTAACCTGTTTTCTTTTGCAACTCTTTTTTGCACACATGTTTAATGATAATACGTAGAACTAGGTTTCCAAGTTGGGTAAATAGTCATAGTGCATAACATTTGATTACCTCCATATCAAATATTTGATATTATCTTTCAAGCGTTACGTGATTTTCACGATGACAGCATCTGATAGAGTGAATATTCTTGGAAAATCTCTACTCTGTCGTCTTTTTTTCCTTCCGTTTTTAATATTTTCTTTCTTTGGATTTTGGTTCTGGTTATTGAAATTCCAGGATATTGTCTAACTCTTGGTAGCCATGGGCAACTCATTTATCACAATGCTTGTTCTCCAATTTATTGTAGTAATATTGAACCTATGTAGTGCACACTTCGTCACATTATCTACTATTTAATATGAGTTGCTTAAGTAGCTGTGTTATGTTATTTAGATATCAATCTGGATTGAACCTTGGGACATTATTGACATATTATGTGGTGGAAGGTAGATTTTATTCTCATGCAATGCTTTGCATCATGTCATCATTACTTTGTGTTATTAATATGAGAAAGCTAGAGTAGGAATTAAAACATTTCTTAGTTAGAACCCCCAACTCTATTTTGTTATTCCCATGTTGTAGTTTAAAGCTCATGACACCACATGATTTGGTGTCAAGTACTACTACTTGATGGAACTCAAAAAATTCCTTATTAAATTGAACATCTACCTCTTCATACAATGATTTTGTTCATTATCATATTTATGTAAGTATGTAACGAACATGAGTGTTTTCTTATGTCCAATCCACTGTTCCCATGCAACAATTACAAACCACGGTGGAGTGAATATTTGTGCCACTTCTATGCCTATGATAGAAGTTGACTTAACAACACTTCTCTCAGAAAATCTTGTTTTGAACTCACACGTTCTCCTACTTTGCGGAAGTACTTGCATATTCATTTCAATATTTGAGCAGCAAGCTACACCTGTATGTGACAGCCCTGTTAGAATAATCATCGAAGTTATTCTACTGATGCAGGGCATTGAACTGCCCAACTTTTTGGGCTTATGTACATATTCCAATCTGGATTCCTCCAAAGTACCAGAATTTGAAACTCTTCATTGTTTCATGTTTTTCATTCTAATTTGGATAAGAGTCGATTTTTTGTTTGGCTTATAAACGTGTTTGTAACTATAGTTTGCCTTGTCATAATCTGCAGCAATCAAGCAGCGAATGGAGAAAGATGTCGATGAAGTTGGAAAAGTTGCTCGTTTCATAAAATCCAAAATTGAGGGACTTGACAGAGATGTGAGACTGTATACTGATTCTTTAAAGTTATTTTTAGTTCTTGGAAGCTCTTATTTGACATGTTTTCCTTCCCCCCTAAATTTTGGTTCAGAATTTAGCCAATAGGAAGAAGCCTGGATGTGGAAAAGGAACAGGTGTAGACCGATCTAGAACAGCAACCACAGTGTAATTTCCTTGCCCCCCCTTTCATCATGATGCTGCTTGTAAGAGATATGATAGTATAACTGTAAAATGGCCTTCTGGATATTACTGTTGTATTTTGCATGGTAGCAAGGTGTTACTATGCACAGATCATAATATGCCTTAGGTGGCGGTTGGTGACTTGGGCAAGTCCTTATTCGCTACTGTCGGATGGTCTTAGGTCTTATAGTATCCAGAAATTTCCTTCATAACTCTTGTTGTTACATGCATGTGGTCTTCCACGAGGCCTTAATTTTTTGGAAGCGCAAAACTAGAATTTTTTTTTTTTGTTGTGGGTTTGTCTGTGCTTTTTTTTTTTGCCCCGGGGGGGGGGGGAATGTTCGATTAGTCATTTAAGTGGATTTTAAACATTATTTGCAACTTTGTTGCTTTAGTTTTTCACAATGAATTTTCCGGATCACAAAGTTAATGTCTTTTTAATCATCTATTAGTACTTAACACCTTTTCACTCGTTTAACTGTTTTTGATCCTTTGCCGAATTGCTATGTTTGACAGAAAACTGTTTATCAAGTCAATTGTATCTCACTTTGTTAATGGGGTTGTTTGATTTCAGTGCCTTGAAAAAGAAGTTTAAAGACAAGATGTCTGAGTTTCAGGTGGGTCAAATATGTTGAACATTAAACAGAGTCCATTACTTTGCATCTGTTCGGATGCATTTCTTAATTCAGTTATCAAAATTGTTTCCAGGTTCTAAGAGAAAGCATCCATCAAGAGTATCGGGAGGTTGTTGAAAGGCGTGTTTTCACAGGTTTTTTTTAATGAATGTATATCGATTCTAGAGCTTCTGCACTTTGATACACTGAAAGTCTCCTGATCCAAGACTTACTGTTTTTGTTTCCTGGTTTATGTGGTCGTCAGTAACGGGTAACCGAGCAGATGAAGAGGTAAAGTTCCTGTAGTCTTGAAATTTTCATTGAATCTGAATCTATGCAAGCACATCTTTTTGATTCTTTGGTATTCAGACAATTGACCGACTGATAGAGACGGGGGATAGTGAACAAATATTCCAAAAAGCAATTCAGGAGCAAGGGCGAGGCCAGGTACACCCCTGTTCTCTTCTTTCTCTCTGTTGTTTATTAACATTTAAAATCTCTTTGGGGATCAACCAACAAGATTCAGTACCTAGAAATTGAAAGAAAAATACAAATAAAAAAGGGAAACAAGTCTTTTCAATACTGGGTCCAACCATGATTCCAATGGTGTGCAGCTCAGTACTTATCACAGTGACGAGGCTAGGTTTTAGCTCAAGATTCAATAATTTGAGTTCTTTACGCTCTATTTCTTGGTATTTTGTTGTATTTGTAGATAATGGACACCCTTGCTGAGATTCAAGAACGTCATGATGCAGTTAGAGAAGTAGAGAGGAAGCTTCTTGAGTTGCAACAGGTATTATAGTCTCCCACATGTTAAGGTCTACTAGCAGTCAGAATATGTTATCCCCTTCCCCTGCCATTCTTGATCCGACCAAACTTAAGAAGTTAATGTTTATTTTTCACCTGCCGTAATGCCATCAAGGCCCACAAAATGACCAAGGACAATTACTCCTATTTTTCATGCAGATATTTCTAGATATGGCTGTGTTGGTGGATGCTCAAGGGGACATGCTTGACAATATAGAATCACAGGTAATGTAAACTTATTTTTATACAGTTGCTTTAGTATCCTGCTAAAAACCATATTAAACCATGATAAAAAAAGTATGGGACGATACATTAGCACATATTAGTTAGCTGATGGTAGCTGTTAGAGCATTTTAATAAACAGAGCATTTTATGTGGGCAACTCAATTCCACTTTGACTAAATTTTTAAAAGTATTTAAATATATATATATATATATATACTAGTGCTATCTAGCCATTGAATTAAATGAGACCTNACAGAGCATTTTATGTGGGCAACTCAATTCCACTTTGACTAAATTTTTAAAAGTATTTAAATATATATATATATATATATATACTAGTGCTATCTAGCCATTGAATTAAATGAGACCTTGAGGCTCACGTGCGCAGAGGTGGGACCAGCAGAGAAGATATAAGTTTCTTAAATTTTTTTTTTATTATTTTCTGTAATAACTTCCTTGTTAAAAAATCAGTTTCTTTCAGTATATATATTTAGATATTTCAAAATAGAAAGACACACTTCTATATCTTCTATATTNGACTCACGTGCGCAGAGGTGGGACCAGCAGAGAAGATATAAGTTTCTTAAATTTTTTTTTATTATTTTCTGTAATAACTTCCTTGTTAAAAAATCAGTTTCTTTCGGTATATATATTTAGATATTTCAAAATAGAAAGACACACTTCTATATCTTCTATATTCTTCACTAATGTTTTATTTTTCTGGGCAATATAAAAAAGTGTCATGTGAAATTTTTACTTTATTAGATTGTGCAAATTTGAGTGAAACAATAGGCAATTAGGTTGAGCTGCCGGGGACGATGAACTACTACCTTCTGTATTGTATTTATTTTATAAAAGAGTGTAAATCATCTTAAGAAAGCGACCTACTTCGTGTGTCATCCTTCCGTTTCACTTTATCTTCCGTTCAATTAATATGGAAGTAATTACGGAATATCAACAGTCATATNCGGGGACGATGAACTACTACCTTCTGTATTGTATTTATTTTATAAAAGAGTGTAAATCATCTTACGAAAGCGACCTACTTCGTGTGTCATCCTTCCGTTTCACTTTATCTTCCGTTCAATTAATATGGAAGTAATTACGGAATATCAACAGTCATATTTTTTCTATATATATATATAGATATTTCAGAATAGAAAGACACTTCTATATCTTCTATATTCTTCACTACTGTTTTATTTTTTTGGACAATGTAAAAGGTGTCGTGTAGAGCTTCTGTTTTATTTGATTGTGCAAATCTGAGTAAAGCAACAGTCAATTAGGCTAGGTTGTCGTATCTTGAGGATGAGACATCGTTATTTTCTGTATAGTGTTTATTCTATAAAAAGGCGCAAATCGTCTTAAGAGAGCGAACTAACCCGCGCCTCACCCTGTCATTCACTTTTATCTTTCGGATTCATATTTTCAACAGTAGCTTTGTCGTCGATCTTTTGTTTACTTGTCTCCGCCTCCCAATTGTTCAGGTTTCAAGCGCAGTAGACCATGTGCAATCCGGGAATACTGCTCTTCAGAAAGCAAAGAGCTTACAGAGGAACTCGAGGAAATGGATGTGCATTGCTATCCTCATCCTTCTTATCATAGTTGCTGTCATTGTTGTGGGCGTGCTCAAGCCATGGAGCAACAACAAGGGTGCTTAGCTTCTTCACCACCATTTGAGATGTACAAACATATCTGAGATGCTATTTGTATTCGAACGTTGGGAACCCCCGTTTCGTCGTGTTAATTCCTGCCCCAAGTATTTCTAAACTTGTCTCGTCTCGCTCCCCTTATAATTGAGTGAGAAATTATTTTTTGGATATATATATATATATATATTTATTATTTGAGGGCGAGTCTTGGTGCAATGGTAAAGTTGTTCCATTGCGACTTAGACGTCACGGGTTCAAGTCGCAGAAAAAACCTCTATTTACAGGAATACAATTGCATACATATAATCCTCTCCAAACTCAGCAACGACAAAAACTTCGTGCACTAGGTACGTCCTCTTTTTTGTATTGTTATTATTTGCAAACAAAAATGAACACCTCGTTTATGCAGATATCTGTTCTTGAATAAATATGATTCATATTGGTAGATTTCATTTCTATGGTGCTCATTGTTGGATAATCCACATTTCTGCCCCCCATAAGTCATATTTCCCGGCAAGAGCCGATTCTAAATAGTTGGACCAAGATTTTGTTGAATTGAGTCGAATTTCTTGCAAACAAACAAGGAATCAATTTTTATTGACTTGTTCATTGAGATAATTAAGATGATTTTGATATTGATCAACTTAATTACTCAACCTTGTTTTCTTTGAGAAAATCATAGTTAAGTTGTTTTTTCATCTCAAACAAGATGTCCTTTCGCTCGACAAAATTACAAAAATTTAGATAAGCTTTGTGATAAGAAATTCGTTCTTTACAAATCTACGGCAATTATTTATTATTGAAGAAAATTAAGAAAAAAATATAACAAAGCTAGTAATAACTTGTGTCTGAAGTAATTATGCAACACAANAGATATTTCAGAATAGAAAGACACTTCTATATCTTCTATATTCTTCACTACTGTTTTATTTTTTTGGACAATGTAANATAGATATTTCAGAATAGAAAGACACACTTCTATATCTTCTATATTCTTCACTACTGTTTTATTTTTTTGGACAATGTAAAAGGTGTCGTGTAGAGCTTCTGTTTTATTTGATTGTGCAAATCTGAGTAAAGCAACAGTCAATTAGGCTAGGTTGTCGTATCTTGAGGATGAGACATCGTTATTTTCTGTATAGTGTTTATTCTATAAAAAGGCGCAAATCGTCTTAAGAGAGCGAACTAACCCGCGCCTCACCCTGTCATTCACTTTTATCTTTCGGATTCATATTTTCAACAGTAGCTTTGTCGTCGATCTTTTGTTTACTTGTCTCCGCCTCCCAATTGTTCAGGTTTCAAGCGCAGTAGACCATGTGCAATCCGGGAATACTGCTCTTCAGAAAGCAAAGAGCTTACAGAGGAACTCGAGGAAATGGATGTGCATTGCTATCCTCATCCTTCTTATCATAGTTGCTGTCATTGTTGTGGGCGTGCTCAAGCCATGGAGCAACAACAAGGGTGCTTAGCTTCTTCACCACCATTTGAGATGTACAAACATATCTGAGATGCTATTTGTATTCGAACGTTGGGAACCCCCGTTTCGTCGTGTTAATTCCTGCCCCAAGTATTTCTAAACTTGTCTCGTCTCGCTCCCCTTATAATTGAGTGAGAAATTATTTTTTGGATATATATATATATTTTTATTATTTGAGGGCGAGTCTTGGTGCAATGGTAAAGTTGTTCCATTGTGACTTAGACGTCACGGGTTCAAGTCGCAGAAAAAACCTCTATTTACAGGAATACAATTGCATACATATAATCCTCTCCAAACTCAACAACGACAAAAACTTCGTGCACTAGGTACGTCCTCTTTTTTGTATTGTTATTATTTGCAAACAAAAATGAACACCTCGTTTATGCAGATATCTGTTCTTCAATAAATATGATTCATATTGGTAGATTTCATTTCTATGGTGCTCATTGTTGGATAATCCACATTTCTGCCCCCCATAAGTCATATTTCCCGGCAAGAGCCGATTCTAAATAGTTGGACCAAGATTTTGTTGAATTGAGTCGAATTTCTTGCAAACAAACAAGGAATCAATTTTTATTGACTTGTTCATTGAGATAATTAAGATGATTTTGATATTGATCAACTTAATTACTCAACCTTGTTTTCTTTGAGAAAATCATAGTTAAGTTGTTTTTTCATCTCAAACAAGATGTCCTTTCGCTCGACAAAATTACAAAAATTTAGATAAGCTTTGTGATAAGAAATTTGTTCTTTACAAATCTACAACAATTATTTATTATTGAAGAAAATTAACAAAAAAATATAACAAAGCTAGTAATAACTTGTGTCTGAAGTAATTATGCAACACAAAGGTGGTCGTGGTGCATATCCGAATACATCCTTGTTTAGGGCCATTACATAATTATTCACATATACAAACAAAAGAGGAAGAAGAAAATGGTAACTTGAAGATACTTAGTGATATTCTTGACTGTTGTTATCAGAAACAACACAAACTTCTGGAGACCCTACTCCTCTTGCACTATTTATGGGACTCCTTGGGCGGTTTTACGATGAGAATTGGACAATGTGCATGATGTGCACAATAATCACTCACACTCCCCAAGAAGGCCCTGCATTCAACAATCAAAAATATCGTATACCAGTATGTTGCATTCAGAAAACACTCAAAAAGACGAGTTCTATCCTTGATTAGAGATTTTTCTATGCAAAATACAAATCATAGGCTTGANATGCTAGGTTGTCGTATCTTGAGGATGAGACATTGTTATTTTCTGTATAGTGTTTATTCTATAAAAGGGCGCAAATCGTCTTAAGAGAGCGAACTAACCCGCGCCTCACCCTGTCATTCACTTNAGGCTAGGTTGTCGTATCTTGAGGATGAGACATCGTTATTTTCTGTATAGTGTTTATTCTATAAAAAGGCGCAAATCGTCTTAAGAGAGCGAACTAACCCGCGCCTCACCCTGTCATTCACTTNGCATTCAGAAAACACTCAAAAAGACGAGTTCTATCCTTGATTAGAGATTTTTCTATGCAAAATACAAATCATAGGCTTGAAGAAGGTGAAAGGAGCCATTGACTCATGACAGATNGGATTCAGAAAACACTCAAAAAGACGAGTTCTATCCTTGATTAGAGATTTTTCTATGAAAAATACAAATCATAGGCTTGAAGAAGGTGAAAGGAGCCATTGACTCATGACAGATAGAGAAGGATTCATTTAATCACATAGTTGGAACTCCTAGAATAACAGTTAAACAATCTCCTATNTTTTATCTTTCGGATTCATATTTTCAACAGTAGCTTTGTCGTCGATCTTTTGTTTACTTGTCTCCGCCTCCCAATTGTTCAGGTTTCAAGCGCAGTAGACCATGTGCAATCCGGGAATACTGCTCTTCAGAAAGCAAAGAGCTTACAGAGGAACTCGAGGAAATGGATGTGCATTGCTATCCTCATCCTTCTTATCATAGTTGCTGTCATTGTTGTGGGCGTGCTCAAGCCATGGAGCAACAACAAGGGTGCTTAGCTTCTTCACCACCATTTGAGATGTACAAATATATCTGAGATGCTATTTGTATTCGAACGTTGGGAACCCCCGTTTCGTCGTGTTAATTCCTGCCCCAAGTATTTCTAAACTTGTCTCGTCTCGCTCCCCTTATAATTGAGTGAGAAATTATTTTTTGGATATATATATATATTTTTATTATTTGAGGGCGAGTCTTGGTGCAATGGTAAAGTTGTTCCATTGTGACTTAGACGTCACGGGTTCAAGTCGCAGAAAAAACCTCTATTTACAGGAATACAATTGCATACATATAATCCTCTCCAAACTCAACAACGACAAAAACTTCGTGCACTAGGTACGTCCTCTTTTTTGTATTGTTATTATTTGCAAACAAAAATGAACACCTCGTTTATGCAGATATCTGTTCTTCAATAAATATGATTCATATTGGTAGATTTCATTTCTATGGTGCTCATTGTTGGATAATCCACATTTCTGCCCCCCATAAGTCATATTTCCCGGCAAGAGCCGATTCTAAATAGTTGGACCAAGATTTTGTTGAATTGAGTCGAATTTCTTGCAAACAAACAAGGAATCAATTTTTATTGACTTGTTCATTGAGATAATTAAGATGATTTTGATATTGATCAACTTAATTACTCAACCTTGTTTTCTTTGAGAAAATCATAGTTAAGTTGTTTTTTCATCTCAAACAAGATGTCCTTTCGCTCGACAAAATTACAAAAATTTAGATAAGCTTTGTGATAAGAAATTCGTTCTTTACAAATCTACAACAATTATTTATTATTGAAGAAAATTAAGAAAAAAATATAACAAAGCTAGTAATAACTTGTGTCTGAAGTAATTATGCAACACAAAGGTGGTCGTGGTGCATATCCGAATACATCCTTGTTTAGGGCCATTACATAATTATTCACATATACAAACAAAAGAGGAAGAAGAAAATGGTAACTTGGAAGATACTTAGTGATATTCTTGACTGTTGTTACCAGAAACAACACAAACTTCTGGAGACCCTACTCCTCTTGCACTATTTATGGGACTCCTTGGGCGGTTTTACGATGAGAATTGGACAATGTGCATGATGTGCACAATAATCACTCACACTCCCCAAGAAGGCCCTGCATTCAACAATCAAAAATATCGTATACCAGTATGTTGCATTCAGAAAACACTCAAAAAGACGAGTTCTATCCTTGATTAGAGATTTTTCTATGCAAAATACAAATCATAGGCTTGAAGAAGGTGAAAGGAGCCATTGACTCATGACAGATAGAGAAGGATTCATTTAATCACATAGTTGGAACTCCTAGAATAACAGTTAAACAATCTCCTATGCGGGTATAGTGAATCATAGACAATACTCAAGAAGACGATATCAATTGATTAATTTTCCATGGTACCTTCACACCTATTCACACTTCTTTATCCTGTGATGTTTTTGAGGTAAACATTAGAAGTTTACCTTTTGATCTTGCTCAGTCCACGACTACCCACGAGCAGAAGATCAACTTCCATTTTCTCTGCAGCTTCGCATATCATTTCCTTCGGGTCTCCTTCGAGAAGCAAAGATTTAGCCATGATCTGCAAACAACTTTGAATCCATGAGCATCACTTATAAACAAATGGATGATGTTATATCTGATTGTCAAGTAGACAAAAGGAATACAAAGGAAGATTCAACTCCCGACAAGTCAAAGCACAAACTGTATAGTTTTTGTAACCGGGATCGTCGCAGAAATGCAATGCAAAACTTAGATACACACAACCTAATTTGGGTTATATAATCGAAGCAGACAAATTACAATTTGCATGTTAGTTACTAATTCTTGGATACCATTCAGAGGAGAGCTTAGCAATCTCTGAGAACTCACCTTCTTTTCTTCGCACATATGTAGTGCACGTGAGAGTATCGCAGCAGCATTTTGTTCTTGAGCTTTCCTTACCGATTCTATGACTGTAGGAGTTGCATATATAGCTGTATAATAAAAGGGGAATTTAAAGACTGATATGTAGTAGATATACATATTGAATGCAAAGTTGTGCAGCCTAAAAATTATATCAAAGTTCTAAACTGTTGNAATTGCATACATATAATCCTCTCCAAACTCAACAACGACAAAAACTTCGTGCACTAGGTACGTCCTCTTTTTTGTATTGTTATTATTTGCAAACAAAAATGAACACCTCGTTTATGCAGATATCTGTTCTTCAATAAATATGATTCATATTGGTAGATTTCATTTCTATGGTGCTCATTGTTGGATAATCCACATTTCTGCCCCCCATAAGTCATATTTCCCGGCAAGAGCCGATTCTAAATAGTTGGACCAAGATTTTGTTGAATTGAGTCGAATTTCTTGCAAACAAACAAGGAATCAATTTTTATTGACTTGTTCATTGAGATAATTAAGATGATTTTGATATTGATCAACTTAATTACTCAACCTTGTTTTCTTTGAGAAAATCATAGTTAAGTTGTTTTTTCATCTCAAACAAGATGTCCTTTCGCTCGACAAAATTACAAAAATTTAGATAAGCTTTGTGATAAGAAATTTGTTCTTTACAAATCTACAACAATTATTTATTATTGAAGAAAATTAACAAAAAAATATAACAAAGCTAGTAATAACTTGTGTCTGAAGTAATTATGCAACACAAAGGTGGTCGTGGTGCATATCCGAATACATCCTTGTTTAGGGCCATTACATAATTATTCACATATACAAACAAAAGAGGAAGAAGAAAATGGTAACTTGGAAGATACTTAGTGATATTCTTGACTGTTGTTACCAGAAACAACACAAACTTCTGGAGACCCTACTCCTCTTGCACTATTTATGGGACTCCTTGGGCGGTTTTACGATGAGAATTGGACAATGTGCATGATGTGCACAATAATCACTCACACTCCCCAAGAAGGCCCTGCATTCAACAATCAAAAATATCGTATACCAGTATGTTGGATTCAGAAAACACTCAAAAAGACGAGTTCTATCCTTGATTAGAGATTTTTCTATGCAAAATACAAATCATAGGCTTGAAGAAGGTGAAAGGAGCCATTGACTCATGACAGATAGAGAAGGATTCATTTAATCACATAGTTGGAACTCCTAGAATAACAGTTAAACAATCTCCTATGCGGGTATAGTGAATCATAGACAATACTCAAGAAGACGATATCAATTGATTAATTTTCCATGGTACCTTCACACCTATTCACACTTCTTTATCCTGTGATGTTTTTGAGGTAAACATTAGAAGTTTACCTTTTGATCTTGCTCAGTCCACGACTACCCACGAGCAGAAGATCAACTTCCATTTTCTCTGCAGCTTCGCATATCATTTCCTTCGGGTCTCCTTCGAGAAGCAAAGATTTAGCCATGATCTGCAAACAACTTTGAATCCATGAGCATCACTTATAAACAAATGGATGATGTTATATCTGATTGTCAAGTAGACAAAAGGAATACAAAGGAAGATTCAACTCCCGACAAGTCAAAGCACAAACTGTATAGTTTTTGTAACCGGGATCGTCGCAGAAATGCAATGCAAAACTTAGATACACACAACCTAATTTGGCTTATATAATCGAAGCAGACAAATTACAATTTGCATGTTAGTTACTAATTCTTGGATACCATTCAGAGGAGAGCTTAGCAATCTCTGAGAACTCACCTTCTTTTCTTCGCACATATGTAGTGCACGTGAGAGTATCGCAGCAGCATTTTGTTCTTGAGCTTTCCTTACCGATTCTATGACTGTAGGAGTTGCATATATAGCTGTATAATAAAAGGGGAATTTAAAGACTGATATGTAGTAGATATACATATTGAATGCAAAGTTGTGCAGCCTAAAAATTATATCAAAGTTCTAAACTGTTGAATCAATAGAAATTGGCTAGAATTTGAATTATGTGCTGTTTATACCAAGGAAAAATGGAAGGATAAAACATCATGAAATAAAAATGATCAACGTTCCTTCTAACTTACCAAAATTCATCTCTCTAAAATTGGGAGAAAAATGAGAAGGAAAATTAATTATACGTGTTAAAATGATGCTTGANTTAATCAATAGAAATTGGCTAGAATTTGAATTATGTGCCGTTTATACCAAGGAAAAATCGAAGGATAAAACATCATGAAATAAAAATAATCAGCGTTCATCTCTCTAAAATTGGGAGAAAAATGAGAAGGAAAATTAATTATACGTGTTAAAATGATGCTTGAAATTAAGTTTTATTAGTGCCACCTTTCTTGTAAATTTGTCTTACCCAAGAGCTAAAGTGACTCAAACCCTCTCCAATTTTAAAATAACCATGAAATATGAATATTTTAATTGTTTAGCGGAAAAATGATAAAAAATACAAGAAAAAGAAAATTTTAAAATTTTCGTTTGGTTAGCATAAAATCTAAAATGATGGAAAAAATAATTTTTTCCTATGCTTAGATTTTCTTAAAAAAAAAAAAAGCATGAAAGTTGTAATTAATAACCTNAATTTTCGTTTGGTTAGCATAAAATCTAAAATGATGGAAAAAATAATTTTTTTCTATGCTTAGATTTTCTTAAAAAAAAAAAAAGCATGAAAGTTGTAATTAATAACCTAACTACCCATTTTACCCTAATTTTTCTTAAAATATTCAACTAATTATTAATTTTAAAAAACTTAGTTTGGAGTGTTCCGGACAAAATCGACTTTTCCATGGATATGCTCATATTTTTAACTTTTTCTTGGTGTTAGGAAAAACTATTTTTGTCCGATAAATTGATGGAAAAGCTGTTCAATAAGCCCAGCTCGGTTCTTTTCCTCTAAATGCTTCAAAAACTGAAGTTTTCAGTTAACTCCTAATAGGGAATAGAGATTTTTCAAAAAATTCTCGCAGACACTCATTGATTTGCATGTATATATTTATATAGAATTATAGATTCGTGTGTGTGTGTGTGTGTGTGTGTGTGTGTGTGTGTGTGTGTGGAGGACTGAGGAGGAGGAAAAAGAACCGGGTCCAGCAGGGATGATGAAGGGCTGGTAAGGCTGAAGGACGTGAACCACAGTGACAGTGACCATCTCCAATTCTTGCTGATCATCATCACCTTCNTATTGAAATTTAAACAAAATTTATCACAAAAAAATGCCATAAAATCCATGAGATTTCACACAAAATCAAAACACAAACAACAAAAGATGGTGANGTGTGTGTGTGTGTGTGTGTGTGGAGGACTGAGGAGGAGGAAAAAGAACCGGGTCCAGCAGGGACGATGAAGGGCTGGTAAGGCTGAAGGACGTGAACCACAGTGACAGTGACCATCTCCAATTCTTGCTGATCATCATCACCTTCTGTTGGACTCGAACTCGAACTCGGACTCGGACCACCACCAGCATGGTATTGGTAGTACCTCCTCCTCAACACTACTTTGTCCAGAGCCCACTTGAGCGCGTAAAAACTCACTTCGCTCTCGTCTATCGCCACCATCACTTTCATCGGCCTCTTCTCCTCCTCCTCCCCCCATGGCTGCGTAGCCCCCTCTGGNGGACTCGGACCACCACCAGCATGGTATTGGTAGTACCTCCTCCTCAACACTACTTTGTCCAGAGCCCACTTCAGCGCGTAAAAACTCACTTCGCTCTCGTCTATCGCCACCATCACTTTCATCGGCCTNCGTTATACACTATCGGTTTCAAAAAAAAACTAGTCGTTAAATTAACAACAAATATATTTACTTGAATTTAAAGTGAAGTAAACGATATATGTTCAAGAAGACAAATAACATCAGATCTTGATGTAGAAAAAGAAAATCAGAAGTTGAAGATTTACACTGGTCATTGAAGTATNCTCCCCCCATGGCTTCGTAGCCCCCTCTGGACCTGCCTTCGTCTCCATCACTTCTCTCTCTCTATCTCTATCTCTATCTCTATCTCTCTGAGGTCCTGGTGAACACTAATGATTCACCAAGTGACCTTCTGATTATTTACAACTTGTGACGTGAGAAGAAAGACAAGAAAAACCGCATAGAACAACTCCATCGGCAAGACAAATGGCGGTCATGCATATAAAGCAAGCCTTATGGTATAGCTGTGCACCGCGTAGTCTAGGATACAAACGGTGGTGCCTAAATTTATTAGCAATGTTTCAAAATTCAAATAAAATCTAAATAATTGTAAGTTAAATGAATATTATTTCTTAAGTGGGTTCCATCAATTTTTTCAGCAAGTCTCACTCATCTCACACTCATCTAATGAATGATATGTATTTAAATTTAAATTTTTGAATTTTATTTGAGTTATATAATATTTTTTTAAAAAATTTATTTATCAAATCTTGTATCTCAAATAATGTATAAAAATTCTTTATATTGAATGATTAATGGAGTTAGTGGATCTCACTGATCTAACCGCTCTTACTAATTTAAGATATAAAATTTGATAAATGATTTAGTAAGCATAATATTGCTCTAACACAAGTTCGAAGTAATGTTACTTTGACCTAATTTATTAAGTTAGGACATCTTCAACTCTGACTCAAATTTAGACTCGAATTTAAATTTGAGTAAAAAAACCCAACAAACATGCTTCAACTTTTGACTCAAACTTATACCAAATCAAGAAAAACTTAAATATTTATCCAAAAATCTTTTATGGTTAGATTTTACTATCTTTTAAACATCAAATAGTTATCTTTACTCTCTTTTAAATTTGAGTTTGCATACATTTAAATTTGAATTTTTCTTTCTTTAAATTTGAGTTTATCCATTGAAATCATTTATATCAAATAAAACTTTTTACTCAACTGTTAATTTAAATTTGAGTAAAAATTTGAATCATAGTTGAAGATGCTCTTATTTATTCATAGCTATTGAATTGATAATAGACCCAATATTTGTTATGATATGCAACTAATGTAATAGTATGCGATGAATTAAATCAATAAATTATATTTAATTAACGTTATTATTTCAATATTGATCATTAATTGCTCTATTTTAAAATGGATTATAGTGAATTATATTTTGTACCTTGAAATATTTAATAATTTATACTTTATATTCTTCAATATAAAATTTTGTGTATTACATCATCAATGTATCAAAAGTATTGCAATGAGACCTTCTGTTCGCTTTCGTTTTTTTTTTTGGTCAAAAACCGTTCATTAATATTGACGAAAAAAATAACGAAATTTAACAAAATGGTCATATTGCAACACTTTTGACAAATTTAGATTATATTACAAATTTTTTTTATCAAAGAGTATAAAGTAAATTTTTTTAAATCTTTGGGGGTACAAAGTAGGATTATTCCTTAAATATCTATAAAGTCCATTTAAAAATGCACATGAACCCCTAACTTGATAATAAACTCTTCTCACGAGCAGATAACTATGTGTTAGCATTTCTTTGACAGAAATTTCTTTTTGGGTGGACAAATATAACTATATCTTTTTAATTTTTCCCATTCGATAAAAAATAATAGCATACATTTATTTCATTTTTGATACTAAAAAAAGTCACTAAACACATAATGGCCAAAAATTAATATAAATAGTTTATCCAAAGAAAAAAAAAACACAAGACGACACAAATTATAGTCATTTACAAATTGACATCGATGAGTTTTCATACGTTCGAGGTGTTGCATAGTAACTTGATTATTAATGCCATTGAAAATTTTCTTTCTAGCTCATCTAGTTACACAATTTAATTATTACAATTTTTATTGCTGAAAATGATTTTCTCAACAATGCAAGTTTCAATTGCTAAATACCAATTTCAAAATAACTAATGGATATATCATGTGTTTTTTTTGGTCTCAATTACATGGGTGAGCCCGAGAGAATGCCAAAGCCTTTGTTCTTTCTTGAGTTTTTTAAAGGTCGGTATCCAATATAACACTCAATTGTGTAAAACTACTTAGTAATAAAAATTTTGTACATAAATCCCTTATTTTTGTGAGTAACAAAAATACCAACAAAGTAATATTAACCGACAACTAATATATCACTAAAAATATGAACAACTAATCTCTTAAAACCCGGCCCGGGAAACTAATCCCATTTGGAAACAATTGGAAGTCATGCACCAAATTATTAAATCTGACAACTAATATATCACTAAAAATATGAGTATTGAAATTTAAACAAAATTTATCACAAAAAAATGTCATAAAATCCATGAGATTTCACACAAAATCAAAACACAAACAACAAAAGATGGTGAGGACAAAAAAAACTTTCGCTTGTGTCACAACACAGTCATATTAAAGAAAAGCAATGTTACACTGCAGTGTACCAACGCAATGGACAATGTATTTGTTACATTGTGATAGATAAATATACAACTATATTTCCTGATTCATATTCTAGGCCAAAATGTTATGTTTGTCACACTGTGACATTCAAAAATGAGTTGGTTGTACATTGAAGCATGATAAAAAAAGTATGTTCAGGGGAATATGTAGATGGTTACAATGACATTACACTATGAAAATTATACGGATACACATATCGTACATTTAAATATGAGAAACAAAATGACAAAACCAAGCTTTTGACTTTATACACTATTGGTTTCAAAAAAAAGCTAGTCGTTAAATTAACAACAAATATATTTACTTGAATCTAAAGTGAAGTAAACGATATATGTTCAAGAAGACAAATAACATCAGACCTTGATGTAGAAAAAGAAAATCAGAAGTTGAAGATTTACACTGGTCATTGAAGTATAATAATATGAATTTACATTTAAATTCAAATTCATATGGATTTAAATCATAATCCATATGATTTAAGTTTTAAATTCAAATATGTTGATCTATTAAAATAGAAAACTCTTAATATAATAAATCAAATCCCATAAAAAAATAGGACTACTAATTTAAATATCCCAATAAATATAGAAAATGAAATTTTAGTAAAGGAAAAATCTGAAAATCTGCTAAATACAATACATTTCAAGTTGAGGACAGTTATATATAAAAAATTTTAGTCAAAATATTTTTTCACAATTAGATAATTTAAAAGGTATCTACTCACAATTTTTCGTTCTTTCTTTGGTGGGACTATAAGTGGGCCCAGTTTTTCTTTTCTCCATACTCAAAATGGAGGCCAAGTCCTTTTAGGCTTCANCTGTTTTTCTTTTCTCCAGACTCAAAATGGAGGCCAAGTCCTTTTAGGCTTCATGGTTGTGGGCCCAATTCTTTTCTTTTGTCGTGACTTGAAGGTGGGCCCAATGCCAAATTACTTGAAAAATATACAAAATACATTTTCTCCTACCCCTCTTTTAGGGGTTTCTCTTTTTATTTCTTCCTATATAAATTTTCTCTTGCCACTTATTTACATACTCTGAGGATTGAAAATGGGCCTTGACCCAAAAAAATAAAAAGGATTGAAAATGGGCTGTGTTAGCCTTGTTTGACCAGCCCATCAGATGTTCAAGGGTGAATTTATATATATATATATATAAGTTGTGAATCGTATCGGACTAAAAATTATTAAATTGCTAAACTCCCTTCATAGAAAGCATTATTATCGTATAAATTGTGTTGGGTTGATATATTATACCTACGAAGTGCCAAAATACGAATTTATTTGAACTAACCCTCAAACAAATAAATTGTATATGACTTACAATTACTCATAAATTATAAGTATCAGATGCGTTCGTGACTCGGCAACAAGAATGAAATCCAACACATCCAAAGTAACTATTAATGAAATTAATTTTTTCTTTTATCAAAAGTTTTATGGTATTTTAACTATTCATTTTTATATTCCAAATCTATATTATTTTTATTTTTAATTCAACAATTTAATTCTAACGTAAGAAAGAAATACAGCCTTGTACTCAAAAGTTTCGTCAAAAAACAAATGTCGGTCAATTACAAGCAAAGTCCTAAAAACTTTTTTTGTAGACACATTATAAGTAAGGAAATTATATTTTATACCCTACAAATTTAAAATTTTTTTATTTTATGTTTTCAAAGATTAAATATTTTATATTACACCTTTAATGTATTAAAAATATTAAAATATGATTCTTTTGTTATCATTCTGTCAACCTCAATGAGATTTGTTTAACAGAATAAATAATAAAAATCAACAGAAATATGAGAAATTTAAATTTTAAAGATATAAAATAAATTTTTTTAAAATTTTTAGATACAAAATGTAATTCTCCCCAAGTACCACTCCAAATCCAATCAATTGTCTCACCTTCGCGTAGTATCTTGGGCTGCAAGTAGGATTAGGAAGATATAGTATTTGACTAAAGTCGGTTCACAATACGTGTCAACTTTTTATTGGTCATTCTGCCACGATAATAAAGAAATTAGTGATACTAAATCGTACCTTCCATCTTTTTATTTTCCCAGTTTGCCCTCCTCTTTTTTCTAGAATCCCCTACATATCCAACCCCCATCGAATCCCAAAAAAAGACTCAGCTCTCCGCCCAACCTCAGTTCTACACAGGAGTACTCTCCGCCCGGCCCCCCCTCTCTCTTTCCTTAGCGGAGTCCATTGCCTTCTTTTTCTGTTTCTCTATCTGCACACTTTTAAGTCTCTGGATTAGTCGATCGGACGGTCCTTCTTTCTCCAACCATGACCATGCTGACTCCTCAACCGTTGGATGTAAGTTCCTTATTCCTACTATTTAACAATCCTATCACTATATATATGTGGTTGTGTGTGTGTGTGCATATATATGTGGTTTTGTGTTTTAAGTCTTTTCGTATTTTGGTTTAAGTTTTGTGATCGGCCGGGGTTTTGGAGTGGATTGGGTGTAGGGAGGGTTGAATTGGATTGAATTATGGAATTGAATTGGGTTGCTGAGAAATTTTGGGTTTTGATTCAGGGGATATTGTTAGGGTTTATTGGATCAGAGATGTCTGACTTGTGTGTGCGTGTGTAACAGCAAGAAGACGAGGAGATGCTGGTGCCACACACTGAATTAGTCGAAGGTCCGCAGCCCTTGGAAGGTCCTCAGCCCATGGAAGGTCTGTTCTGGCACTCATCCTACTGTAAATTAAATTTCCATTTATGAAATTAATGTGTTCTGCGGGAAAAAAATAGAAGATTTTTTCACATTTTTTTACTTTTCCGTTATTAGTTAGTTTAAATTTGGTATTACAAATATTGTTTTTAATTGTCCGATGTTCTGATGGGGTTTTGATTTTGTTCTGTTTGTTGTGACTTTTTTTTGGGGTAATATGCGATATATTAGTAGTAGCACAAGGAGAAACTGCTAACGCTGTGGAGAATCACGCCGTTGATGAGCCCCAAGAATCCAGGTTCCCGTGGACGATTGAGAATTTTTCTAGGATGAATGTAAAGAAGCTTTACTCCGACAGTTTTACTGTCGGTGGTTACAAATGGTAATTGAGTTACATCCACTTGGTCATAAAATGTAGCAGGTGTGCTTTGGCGAGCAAGTTTGATTGATTTTTGATCTGGCATTGATTGGGCAGGCGGGTGCTTATTTTCCCAAAAGGAAACAATGTGGACCATTTGTCAATGTATTTAGACGTGGCAGATTCGGCAAACTTACCGTATGGGTGGAGTAGATATGCACAGTTCAGCTTGGCTGTAGTTAATCAAATTCATAGCAAATTGACCATAAGAAAAGGTACCTCCTACGCTGCTCAGATCCTAATATTCATGTTCGTGTAATTAGTTTTGTTGTTGGGGGCTTTTTTTTTTTTAAAAAAAAATTTTTTTGGGTGGTCAGTAAATTCATTTGCAAAACCATTCTGTATGTTGATTGGACAGCAACCTTTCCTGATTATAGTAATANAATGTTTTGGGTGGTCAGTAAATTCATTTGCGAAACCATTCTGTATGTTGATTGGACAGCAACCTTTCCTGATTATAGTAATATGTATNATTTTTTTGGGTGGTCAGTAAATTCATTTGCAAAACCATTCTGTATGTTGATTGGACAGCAACCTTTCCTGATTATAGTAATATGTATTGGGCAGCCTTCCCTAAATATGGTTCACTTTTGTATCAGGACACTAAATTTCCTGACCCAGAAAGCTTTCCCTATTTCTGCCCTCAGTTTTGATTACTAGCAAAACGAATTGCAATTCAACTAGTTAGTAGATAGTCTTTTATAACTTACTGAATTTGGAGGTATAGTGCATCAAATGTTTAACTTACTTTGATTAACCTTAGCTCTAAATGATAAATGAATAATTGTAGTTTAATGAAGTCATGATGTAATAAGAAGAGCTTTGCATTTTAACACTAGTGTTTATGGACATATATTGTTAGAATTAGAAGGAAATCCGTCAATAAAGAAGCATACAGTACAATATTCAAATTTGCCATCTGTGTAAGGCTACCACTTCTGTATGGCATTTTTGGTTATGTGGTGTGCCACATTCTAATTCCATTCCACATGAGACCTCAAAGGGTCAATTGGCATGCTACAATGTAGAACAAGAGTTGAAAAAAGTTCTTCTGTTCTAGTTCTTGATATTAAATATTTTTGCAAGATTTTGTTAATGCTAGTATGACACGTGAGCTCTTAATTTATCTTCCTTGGGCTACGAGTTAAACACTTGGGCAAATTAAGTTGACTAATACAGTTTTTTTTTTTTTGAGAAATCTTATTTGGTACATACGTTTTCTGGTCCTGTTTGGTTTTTGATTCCAAGAAATGTGCCGCATTCAGCAATGCTTTGATATTATCTGCATAATGTGACTGCTTTCAGATTTGGATCATTCACTCATGTTTTGTAGCAGAGTTTTGCCCTTGAACTAAGTGACGGTCCCTTTTTTACAAGAAACTTCCTAATCGAGAATATGATGATTGGATTGGATTGGGTTATGGTTATCAGATTTTGACTTGATTAATACAAAAAGGAATTTGAACTTTTTGATTTTACTTGTATCCACTCTTGTTGAGAAGTTAACCTGAGTTGTCTTTGTCTTCCGGTGACAGAGCTTCTTTTTCAAACCCCCCTTCTCTCTTTTCCCTCTTCCCAACCCCCAAGTTTATTCTGATCACACAGCAAGTATTTCTTAGACTTGGTTTTGATTTCAATTCTCTCACATCTGAATTTTGCAGACACACAACACCAATTTCATGCAAGGGAGAGTGATTGGGGCTTTACATCTTTCATGGCTCTTGGTGATCTTTATGATCCCAGTAGGGGGTATATTGTGAATGATACAGTTATTATCGAAGCTGACGTTGTTGTACGTAAAATCACTGATTATTGGACATATGACTCAAAGAAGGAGACTGGTTATGTTGGACTTAAGAATCAAGGTGCAACTTGTTACATGAACTCCCTCCTTCAAACGCTGTACCATATTCCTTACTTCAGAAAGGTAAATACGTCTTCTGATTTTCTTTTATGTCCTTGATATTTTTTAGAAGAAAACATCTCATTTTGGACTATGTATGTCAGGCTGTGTATCATATGCCAACTACAGAGAATGATAATCCCTCAGGAAGCATCCCTTTGGCTCTCCAGAGTTTGTTCTATAAGCTTCAATATAATGACACCAGTGTGGCAACAAAAGATTTGACCAAATCTTTTGGATGGGACACATATGATTCTTTCTTGCAGCATGATGTGCAGGAACTCAATAGAGTATTATGCGAAAAGCTTGAAGATAAGATGAAGGTATGGTTTGACAGCGGCAACCTTCAGTTTTCATTTTTGCTTTGAGATTTGCTAAGAATGGTTTTGCTGGTACAGGGAACGGTTGTAGAAGGGACAATACAGAAGTTATTTGAGGGGCACCATATGAACTACATTGAATGTATCAACGTGGACTTCAAATCTACTAGAAAAGAATCATTTTATGGTACTCATCGTCGCTGGAAGTTCAGATTGTCTAGGTTTGTTCTTCCATTTAGGGTCATTTTATGAACTAATTTTTTGTATATACTTTATGGCAGACCTTCAACTTGATGTTAAAGGGTGTCGGGATGTTTATGCTTCTTTTGACAAGTACGTGGAAGTCGAACGTCTTGAGGGTGACAACAAATATCATGCTGAAGAACACGGTTTACAGGTCAGTTGATCTTTATACATAACTGGATGGAAATTTTTTGGTTTTCCCAGAAAAGTATGTTTAGTGGAACTGTGCTTTAGAGTTGTCAAAACAATCATATTTTACACTTGCCGATTCAAAGCTGTCCAAAATGTTAAGGTATTAATGAATCTGGGTGATGATTCCAGGTAGGCTGGTTTGGGTGAGATGTTAACGGGTTTGGGTGATAAATGGGTTGACATACCAAACACGTTTAATAAACGGGTCGTGTTCGGGTAAGACCTGTCAAACCGTTTAACACACGTTTACCCGTTTAAATAAAATTNGTTAAAATTCGACATGACACGATTAACCAACACTAATCGACACGACTTAAGCCGGTTTGGGTGAGATGTTAACGGGTTTGGGTGATAAACGGGTTGACACGCCAAACACGTTTAATAAACGGGTCGTGTTCGTGTAACATGTTTAATAAACGGGNGGTTTGGGTGAGATGTTAACGGGTTTGGGTGATAAATGGGTTGACATACCAAACACGTTTAATAAACGGGTCGTGTTCGGGTAAGACCTGTCAAACCGTTTAACACACGTTTACCCGTTTAAATAAAATTAATATAATAATAAATTAANGTGTAACATGTTTAATAAACGGGTCGTGTTCGTGTAAGACCTGTCAAACCGTTTAGCACACGTTTACCCGTTTAAATAAAATTAATATAATAATAAATTAATAATTATTTTAAAAAATTAGCAAGAAATAAAGAAGTAAATAAATCAATAAAAAAAAAAAAGTAAATTAGTAGTTCAAAGACAAAAGAGAGGAGATGAGGAGCACTTCAAAGACAAAGGCAAACCAATGCTTTTTGTTTTTGTCCCACATTGAAAAATGAGGGGAGATGGGGAGGATTGAGTTGTCTATTAAAAACAATGACCTCTTGTTTTTTTTTTTAAACTTTAAAGTCTTTTTTTTTATGAGATTTGACAAAAAATTCTTTTTTTTTGAGGTAAGTGCAATTGACAATAAAAAAAGGTGAAGTATTAAAATTTGTTAATATAATTTTTTTTAAAGTAAACGGGTTAAACGAGTCGAGTCGTGTTATCCGTTTATTAAACCAGTCGTGTTCGTATTGAAATTTTTTACCCGTTTATTAAACTTGTCGTATACGGGTTTATATATTTTTCACCTTTCACCCGTTTAACCCGACACGTAACCGTTTAACCCGACACATTTGACACTCTTAATTCCAGGCGTCATGTTTTAGTTGAATTGTGATTTGATTTAGAGTTGTTAAAACAATCATATTTAATTATGATAGCAATTGAGGTTTGAGGTATTACTGACTTGGTGTGATGATTCTGAGTTTACAGTTCCTTTGCGTGGGCAGCACCCAAACCAAATAATTGAATGAGGGTGCACTTTTATGGAACCATGCAGAANTGGAGGTTTGAGGTATTACTGACTTAGTGTGATGATTCTGAGTTTACAGTTCCTTTGCGTGGGCAGCACCCAAACCAAATAATTGAATGAGGGTGCACTTTTATGGAACCATGCAGAAAAAAATTTAATTGAATCAAGCAACTGAAAGCTGCAAAAATGTTTCCATTCTTGCTTTTTTTAGAGCAGGACAGCAGCNATCCGTTTATTAAACCAGTCGTGTTCGTATTGAAATTTTTTACCCGTTTATTAAACTTGTCGTATACGGGTTTATATATTTTCCACCTGTCACCCGTTTAACCCGACACGTAACCGTTTAACCCGACACATTTGACACTCTTAATTCCAGGCGTCATGTTTTAGTTGAATTGTGATTTGATTTAGAGTTGTTAAAACAATCATATTTAATTATGATAGCAATTGAGGTTTGAGGTATTACTGACTTGGTGTGATGATTCTGAGTTTACAGTTCCTTTGCGTGGGCAGCACCCAAACCAAATAATTGAATGAGGGTGCACTTTTATGGAAGCATGCAGAAAAAAATTTAATTGAATCAAGTAACTGAAAGCTGCAAAAATGTTTCCATTCTTGCTTTTTTTAGAGCAGGACAGCAGCCAATCTATTCCTACTAGGATGCAGCAATCTTGGTTGAGATGTGCCTATTAAATTGGTTGAGATGGCAGTCAACCCCAGCTGCTTGAGATTGACTACATATGAATTGATGAACATCCCAGCTAGAAATGGAGCTAATGTAGAAAATTGTTTTGTGAAGGTGTTTTTTTTTAATTTGATTCTTAATAATGTCTATTTCAGGTTGCTTATTCTAAAAAAAACGTTTTGGTGGTTTTAGAATTTGCTTGACCTGGGCTATACTAGTGGTTCAGGGCTTTATTGCGAATCATGCTGATATTGTGGGCTCTTTAGTAGTTTGGGAATAGTCTTATCAGTCAAAAGTTTTAAACTTTTTGGAGTGATTTAACTCCTGATCTAGGAAGCACAGACACTATAGTTTGGTCAAAGTGCCTGGATTGAACACATATAGGACATGGACACGCTCCAGACATGCTAAAATAAATGTTTGATTTTATTGTTCATTTTTTTTCCAAGACATGTTTTGGACATGCGACTGGTGTGCTTGGGACATGTGACTGACATGCTGGGGACACATGACCAACCAGCTGGAGGACGCATTTTGAGATTTTGAATTTTTTTTGAAATGTTGTTAAGTAACTTTATAATTAAGGAAGCTATTTTTATAATTTTAAAGAGATATTGGTCAAAGACATAATAAAAAGGAGTTATAATCACTACATGAACATAAGACATGAATAAAGCATAATTTCGCATACAATGAAATAATGTGATGAAAAATGAGGTTATGAAATTTGTGCTCTTTTAAATTAATGAAAATTAGGATTACGAAGTGGGATATCTTTTAAAATGGAAATTGTAGTAGTCATTGATTATCAAATAATAGATGTTTATGATGAATGTATATCGGTATTTGTGACATTGTATTTTTTATTTGATATCATAAAGTGAATTGTTAGAATCAAAGACATGATGAATTGAATGATTATTATTAACATATATTTATTTTATCACATAATCATATATATAGGATGAATTGAATGATTATTATCAAAATATATTTATTTTATTACATGATAATTAGATNTAATGATGAATGTATATCGGTATTTGTGACATTGTATTTTTTATTTGATATCATAATGTGAATTGTTAGAATCAAAGACATGATGAATTGAATGATTATTATTAACATATATTTATTTTATCACATAATCATATATATAAGATGAATTGAATGATTATTATCAAAATATATTTATTTTATTACATGATAATTAGATATTTAATTGGTGGTTGATCTCTTTAGGAAAATGCTTATTAGAGCAAAGAGATATTGAAAGAGGGGATATGAGTGGGTGGTGAGGATGTAATTTTGTCGCGTATATATATACATATACTAGGGGTAACTCATGCAGGCACGGTGCAATGCGAATGGTTTTGTGATGGACGTTAGTTGCCATTGGATGAGTCTATTTGAGATCGTTGGATGAGCTTATTGAAGTATGTCCTATTTTATAATATATATATAACGTGGATTTGATTATATATATGTAATTAAATACATAATATTTNGTAGGCACGGTGCAATGCAAATGGTTTTGTGATGGACGTTAGTTGCCATTGGATGAGTCTATTTGAGATCGTCGGATGGGCTTATTGAAGTATGTCCTATTTTATAATATATATATAACGTGGATTTGATTATATNGCAGGCACGGTGCAATGCGAATGGTTTTGTGATGGACGTTAGTTGCCATTGGATGAGTCTATTTGAGATCGTTGGATGAGCTTATTGAAGTATGTCCTATTTTATAATATATATATAACGTGGATTTGATTATATATATGTAATTAAATACATAATATTTAACGTCTCCCCTAATGTGTCTGTGTCCTAATTTTTAAAAAAATTTCGCCTTGGTGTGTCTGTGTTGTGTCTTATTCGTGTGTTGTGTCCGTGATTCTAATCTCCTAATAGACCATGGGAGAATTCAATAGCTTATAAAGTCCTCGCCATCTTTTAATTCAATGGCATTGTCTGTTACAGTTGAACTCTCATAATTGAGCCTAAGCTCATATTGGGCAATGTATTTAAAAGGGTCTGCTCTACACATACTACTACTTCTTTAATTGGATTTGTTTTGGTTTTTAATTGCAAAAAAAATGCCTATTTTCTTTAGTTCCTCATCCTACCAAATGACTTAATCTTTTCATATCCTTTTGGTCTTTCTATTTGATATTGCAACACATAACTAGAGTCTGAAAATTCCATCTATTGATCATTTGCAATCTCGCGACCGTTTATTTAGAATTAGGAGTTAGTTGTAGTTTTAGTGGTCTTTTGTCCACATGCCTTTCATCCCATAGTCGATGGGATTGTAGATACCCTAAGTGTCCCACGAACCGGTGTTGCACGTCTCGAAACAGGGTGGATTTGCATTTTAGATCACCAAAATTTCCTACCCCTGAATGTAACTGAAATCCTAAACAAACTCATGATCTAAGTAATCCCAAATTATGACCCTAAACCCATATTGTAACTCTTAAGTAATTATTTCTTTGTATTTGAATTTACATTTTAATAGGTTTTGATTCCACTTTTTCTCCTAATACAAATTTGAAATTGCTAGCTTTTATTGTTTA